GTGTTCCTTTTGTGAGCACTTCTTCTGCTCTATTCGCTCATTTGTTTTGTTTTATGTTTGTTGGGAATTAGTTCGAATTTTAGGTGTTTAGGAATAAGGTGTTTTATCCACGAAAGTGACCGCATTTCTTTGAAAAAAATTATCCCTGAGAAGATGAGAAAATCAACCAGGCGTACATTCCTAACTTAGTCATGACTTGTTCTTCAAATTCTACTAGTTTTTCAATGTCTCGGCTATAAAAAATTTCGACCTAGATCTCAGGTAATGGTGCTCGACCGTCGAGTTCTGGTTGAAAAACCAGGTCTGGAAATGGAACGACGCGACTTGTTGGGAAACCTAATAGTGTAATGTTTAGAAGAGGTCATGCATAAGTAGAGGGTACATCATTGATTGATTTCTCCCAAGGGAAGATAAAGTTAGAGATAGTTGTCGGTTTGGTCAATTTTTGTCGGCTGGACCTCCCATTTCGCAGGCCTAAAATTTGAAAACCCTGGAACAGAGGTGGAAGAGGAACATAGCATCTTGTAGAGCAGACAATTCTCTTTCGAATGGTATATGACACGATGTAAAAGCTTGAGGATTTAGAAGAAAACTTTTCGTTTGTCTTATGAGACAACCTGATAGTTAATCTCGCTGCATGGCGGGATAGTTCAAGTCGGGTCTGAGGGGCGGCGTGCGCCATATTGTGGCGTACGATCTGTACACTCACAATTGTACACTCACAACCTTGGAAAATAGCAGCTTCATGTTTACCAAATTTACAACAGTCTCAGTGAAATTGTCTTCAATTACAAATCCTTTCTTACCAATTTTTCTCTTTTTTTTCTCACTGTTCACCCTAGAAGGCATCCTAACTCTTGTAATGAGAAAAAGAAATGGAGAATTTACGAAAATGGATGTAGGGAATGACTATAAATGGGTTGAATACCTACTAGAACATAGTGGAGCACAAACCAACCAGGTCCAATAGAAAAAGAAAGCTATTGTTGAAAACACGCCCTTGAAAGCTTAGCTATTCGTTCTGATGGAAATTAAAGAGCAGCCTCTAGAAAAAAGAAAAGGAAATATGAGAAAAACCATCTGGTGAAAACTTTTCTCAGAGTAATCCTTTTCACTTTGCACAAACTACGTTTTTTTTTCCTTTTCTGCTCTCGTCCGCGCTCTCTCGTTGAAATAGCGCGCTGAGTTTACAATGAACTCGCATATTCTACGTTTTCCACGTATTGAGAAATTAATTCATGGCTGCCTTATCCCTGCCCTACAACGCCCTTTTCCTCATAGTAGCTGATTCGTAGTGTTCGAAGATGCGTCTGCAGTAGCATTGATTAATAGATCTCCCCGCACTAGGTGGTATCAGGAAGTCCAGGAGGATGCCAAAATCGTAAAATCCTGTGGTTTAGAAATTTACACAGAAACATGGTTTTTCAGCGCCATTAACATAAGCCACACATAACCTGCACTGCCAGCGCCCACCCCAGGCTGAAAAAAAGCAGCCGGCACACACCTTGCTCACTCAGAAATGCTCTCATTTGTTAAGTGTCAAATGGGTCGTATTCCTGTGGACCTTCAAAAGTCTGATGATGCGGTAGAATGGAAAAGGGGCAATGCGTCCCCTTTCTCCCAAAACGCTCTCCGACAGGCTAGAAAAGATTTAGAACAAATTTACACGGAACTAGCATCTACAGTCGATATCTCGAAGTCTGATTGGGCGTGTCACCGGAAATGACGTGGCAGCCACCGCACTTGATAGATGTTGTGTGGATAAAATACTCCGCCAGATATCAGCAAAGCGTGTTGGAAGCAGCTTATCCGCGCAACTTCTATCAAGTGCGGTGGCTGCCACGTCATTTCCGGTGACACGCCCAATCAGACTTCGAGATATCGACTGTATACAATATATTAGGTTGGTAACTTTGAAATGTCGTTTTTGATCAAAGATTATTTTAAGTATAAAAGCTATACCAAAGCTTATCAACCTAATTTATTTCCTTTATGTGTGTCATCCACTCTCCACCTTTTGTTATGCAAGGCATGGAGGTCTACCTCGTAGAACTCTTCCAGGTACGACTCGAAGAAGTTAGGTACTCAAATTTTGACGTCGTCGCGGTTATCGAATTGGTTTGCTGCTAAGGAGTGTTGCGCTGACCTGGGTCAGTGATAGTTGGACGGTGCCAGGTCTGAGCTATATGGCGCGAGAGGCAGAGCGTCCCAGCCCAACTCCTCGATTTCTTGTTGCAAAATTTTCGCGACATGTGATCTTGCATTATCGTGCCAAAATTTTCAATGACCGAATTTGCCCTTTGACTACGCAGAGCCCGACCCTCGCCTGCGGGATGTTGTGCGCAGAGTTTAGCTGTAACTATATGACGCACAATCAGCTCTCCATAGTAAGCCATTCTTATACTGCTTCACCACACTGTAGCAAGACTTTTTCTCTGTGGCTGTCCGGTTTCGGAGAGGCCCTCAGCTGCCCATCTGTTGCCAACCACGGCCATCTTCTCACTTTGTTATCGGGGAACATCCTTCTGTAAAACACGCTTCAACGAAGTCAGGAACCTTCTTCTTCTTGGAGTTATGCAGCAGAGTTCAAGTATTGGCAACCAGTACTGCTTGCTCGCGTCGCTCAGAATAGGCCGAACCCATTTTCTCCTGAAAGGCCCTTAACAGTCGCACGTAGGAACTTTTAAATTTTTCTGTTGACACAACTGAATCTCCATGCAAGTTTTGTGCGGTTTGTCGAGGACTCAATTCGTTGGCTTTCTTTATTTCTCCGTCATCTAGAGCTAGAGGTCAAAATCCACGACCTCGTCCTCAGGTCCTTTACCTCAGTCTTGGAAGAGCTGAAACCATAGCTGAAAGTGCATCAGAGACTGAGTGTTGCTGCTCAATGTTTTGCACACAATGAGTGGGATTCGTTGGCTGTTTTTCCTTGCTTGAATATACACGCTCAGGCGATGTTTTCTGATCAATCATCTTCGAGCAAAAGTTTTGGCTCGAAGAACATCCGCTCACTGACGGCTAAGGTTTCGCAATATGCGCACTGAATCGCTCTCTCGAATGGATGGTCTCCCATATTACGAGGTTGAGTTTCAGCTGAGAAACAAAGCCACTAAAGGAAGCGACATTTCAAAGTTACCAACCTAATATATCATATACACGGAACTAGGATTTTTACTTTCTCTATGTTTCACTTACACAAGCATCCCTCGTGAATTGGATAGAAACGAAGTTCTTAACTCATTGCGGCCCGCGCGTGGCGGTGTACTGCACATGGCTCAGCTTGCTTCGTTAAGGATAATCTTGACACTCTCTCATGCTTCAATCCTATAAGGGTACATATCCTAATGAGAAGAGCAACATGTAGATGCGTGAAGGCGCCATATGAAGAAAATTTTAGTTACTGCTTCTTGTTACGGAAATTGCACTTTCTTTTCACTTGTTGGTAATTTGTGTAAAAGGCAAAGGTCGGGCTCAGGCACGCTAGAGAAGTAATTCCCGTGCCTGGAGGTTGTATGTGGGTAGCTGCACACATTGCAGCAACTTCCCACCTTGAAAAACCCCGTTAAGGCCCCGGGCGTTCGGTTTCAATCCAGGGCCGCCTGGTCAATCCAGGACCGCCCACCTCCGGAAGTGGTGCGTGGCTGGCATAACGTGTGAAATCAGCTAGGTTGATTGCCGTATCAACCGATAGAACGACTGACATCTCCAGAAAACTTGTTTGTACGTGCCTCTCAGAAAACTTGTTTGTACGTGCCTCTTTCCCCAAGCCAGCCTCCTTCACTGCTAGTGGGAAAGAGGGTTTTGTTAACGGCCTTGTCGACGGTTTTTCTCAGTTTTTTCTCCACTGTCGTTCCACTTCGCATCTCTATACTCAGTTTCAATCGCCATAATACCCCCTTATTGAGCCCGACTTTTGCCTTTAAAGAAATGAAAGAGCACCAATGAGATGAAAACGATCCCCTGGAACAATAGAAGTTGCTCTATTTAAATTATTTTTCGTAACTTTTCTTCGTACAAATGGAAGTAGAATGCGTGCCGCATCCCAAGACGGGATTGATCAACGGCAAGAGCTTTATACTTTTTATTAACTTTTCTTCTCAATATGAATTTTTGATTCGTGCTGCACCTTTGGGCCCCTTTACAGCCATTGTCATGTGGTAATAATGGATTCGACTGGTTAGCTAATGATGATGCGTTGTAAAAAAATTAATTGCTGGTACATAATTGCTCACAAACTCATATGATATAAATAAATGATTACATTTATACCAGCACGCGGCGACGAGTGAAAACAAGCGTCGACCACGTGCGCAGGCAAGCGAAAAGACCGGCGCTACGCCATGGATAAACATCTATTACATCTACGAAGAAAAAGAAATGAAATCATTGCCATACACGGCAATCTTGATAACCGAAACGACTTGAGTAGCCGCTTGTTTTTCAAGCTTGTGTGATCTGAGGCCAGGGGGAGACCAGTACAAACTATGCATTCTTTCGGCAATCACTCACGTCCATTTTCCTTCTCCGGCTGCAGCCGAGTATATAAGAATGAGTCAAACTGTTGCACTTTCAGTCAGTCTCACAGTCGGTAGAGTTACGTTCTGACATTTTCATTTTATCGTGATCTTTTTTTACCTGCTATACTTACTGAATTCATGATCGTTGTGGTCTTTTCACATGTTATCAAACATGTAATATAACACATTGAGTGTTGAGGACTCGTTCTCATCTGGGGCAATCACAGGCTTTCATCTTTGAGGTTGGTTGACTGGCAATAAATTAGTGTGGGTCGTTAGAAACTGAAATGTCTTCCCACACATTCTCTAACCACCGCCAGTTGTGTTTTCTGAAAAAGGCACGCTGTTGTGAGTAGAAATTGACTACGTGAGCCTTCCTGAGAAAAATTTACAGACCCACAGACCCCTTAACACCTTAACCTCGATAGTATACTTTCCTAGTTTTTCTTCTCAAAATAAGACATTCTCACATATCGTTTGAGGTCACTGATAGCAACAGCTTTTGCACTATGGGAGGAGGCGCTGAACGGAAGGTTGGAATTCCACGAAGTGACCTATCAAGACGCAAACGGCGATGAAGTGAGGAAACCTCCAGATGTGGATATTGATATACTGTTCGCAAGAGGAGATCATGGAGACAACGAGGTGATTCCTGTTACCACAAAATAAAAAAAATGAATTGATAATTAGCAGCTACAAGGACGTGTACGAAAGGGTTCAAGGTTAGTTTGGTTTGGTACAAACATTTACAGGCATTTGATAGCAATGGCGGTATGGTCGCTCATTCGGAATATCCTCCGAAAGGGATTCTTCACCTCGACGCCGATGAGCGGTGGTCGTTTGATGGATCTGATGGAGTGGATTTGCGTTACGTGAGTCACTCATATGCATTGTTTATGTGTGCTTCGTTACATGTTGGTTGTTGTGTTTGCTTGCTTTGTTTGCCTTTATTCCAAAACGTCCGTGTAGGATCTGTTGGAATAGGTCTCACTCTAACTGATTACATTCAATATTTATTCAAACATTAACTTCGTACAGTTAATAGTGATCATCCGAAAAGCCCCTTTTTTGCACTGGCTGACAACCCATCTTGAGGTTCGGATGTGCTTTGACCACATGAGCTCGTAGTATCTCAATCCGGCTCTAGTGAGAGATGATTTTGGCTTTTTCAAGGCAATGTATCGTTTATTGCCGGCCTTCTCCTTTGAATGTGGCCCACATAGAATAGTCCACTGCAATGAGATCGAGGGAGAAAATGGAAATTCGAAAGTATATGAGGCCAGAAAGTGTAGTATGGCACAATTCTTGGAGTCCCATCGCTTCATGCGCAGGACGAGTCTTGTTGATCCATTTTTCCTCGCCAAAGTGGACAGCGCACCACAGTATGACTAATGTTCGCAAAACAGCTCATCCTCAGTTGGCGTTAGACGAACCGTCAGCTGGAACGTTTACCGAGATCTTTCATGCTTGTTAGGCTCATTAACAGAAAAAAAGGGGAGCGTTCTCATATGCTAAAGTTATACCTCGTCGTGTGCACTAGAAAATGACTCCGGTAGTTGCAGTTTTATTGGCCAAAGCCAGACACACAGTTGACCGAATGCAAAATACTGGCTCAATATTACCCTGACATAGGCAAGTGCTAGAACGGTGGGGCATTGGTTGATAATCCCATGTGGTAACGTGGTTGATGTCGGCCACAACAGGCAGATGTCTAATTCTCAACAGAAGGAACTACCCATCGGTCTACAGCATCAAAACGAAACCTATTGCTAATCGTTTGAAAAAATTTAATAGCCGCTAGCAAAATGGCGTTTGTTGTAATATTTGTGAATCACCCTGTAGTTGTCTTAGGTGATACACTCATAAGCAAATTATAACAGAACGTTGCGAATATTGCGTCTAGGTAATCATACACGAAGTTGGCCACCTTCTCGGTCTGCGACATTCACGAAAACAATCTTCAGTCATGAGCAAATACTACCGGTAAGTTATTTGATTGTTGAAATACAAAGGACTATTCAAAGTACGTTCTCGCCAAAAGGTTACCCAATATGCAACACAGCAAGATGAAGTTGTATTGTCCGTCCCAGCGGTAACAGGATGGGCATGCCTACAAACAGATTGCTTGCTTTTCATAGATTTTGTTATAAACTAGTCTTTCCTCCACGCGTGCAGCGGAAGCTGTTAAACAGCGCTGAAGGAACATCATTTTTCTACCCCTATACTGTAGTTGCGTGTGAAGCATTGTCATACGTTCGGTTCTTGGCTTCTTGCAAGACGTCACTCTCCTACGGTGAGCATTCATCCAACGGTAAACTCCGCGAGCGGTTGCTAGGTGAACATTCCTGCACTCCTGCACCGACTTGGTTGCTGCGGAGAATCCTCCTGGCGCGGTGGCACGTGACTCATTATTGGCGTTCAGACCGCTCATTCCGGTTCCCGTTTTTACCATTGGTTCCAAAAATGTGTTATCACTTATAACTGTTGGAGGTGCTGCTACCATTCCATTAGAATCATTCGCAGTCGGCGGAGGAGGTGGTGACAGGGGTGGTAGAGTTCGATATAAGGGCGCGGTAGAAGGCTTCCCTATTTACCACCTCACCGCCTCTTCACCTTTTAATTCACCATCCTTATCCCTTTGATTCACACGTTTTAATCCACCTATCATGCTTATCCTGTCTTTCACTTTACTCGGTCTTTCCACGTTTTCCACGTGACAATTCGTCCTACCCGTCAGTTTACGTTTTCGCTCAGACCGTCTCTGCGGCAACACGTCTTCCGCTACCGGTCTTCTCCTTGATATAAGCCTCATTAGTTCCTGATCTGGCACTGGGCTCTCATTGATTTGGTTTGTGTGGGTTATCCGGCTACTTGTGCCAAAGTGAATTTCGGGGTCCGTTGTCGAAGGGGGACATCCGCTGACGCAATTTTTTGCGCTATAACTGGAAAAACGAAAATGTCAGAACACATACGGATCTCGAACACTTGACAAAACAAGACATGTCAAGATTGTAGTATCTTCCAAGAAAAATCTGATATGCTTAGTGCTGTATTTTATTTTTTACTAATCTATATTTTTTCTATGAATGTTCAGAAAGGTAATCTCCCTTTCCCTCTGGAGCTTAGTCCTGTTTAACGAGGTGTTTGACATGATTTTATGCTTTGCCGCCGCGGCCTCCGCAGCCGGCGATTGCCAAAATAGAGCCAAAAATGGCGAGATACGGGGTCATCCTCCAGGACCAGGCCTAAATCACTACCGTTTTCATGGAAAATGAGTGTTTCATGTGATTTTTATGCACTGCTATCACAGTATTCCCACATCTTGCGATAGCACCCCCAAGTAAAAAAAAGAGCCAAACAAAAAGCGTGACTTCAAGGAGATTATGACGAGAGCAGCAGAATGCAGATGAAGAATGGCGTCTATCTCTGGCCACCGGCCAGACAAAACAAAACTTAACATGTTTTGTTTTGTCGGTGTTTGGGAGCAACGGTAGACTTTACAATTTTTGACTTGCTTTCTTCCGTCAGTGGACTGCGTCAGCAGATATCCGCCCATCGGACAACATACCCGAATTTCTTGTGAATATTATTTATAACACCATTTGCAATGCCTAGCTACATATATAGAGGCAAACAAATATTAACCCGTCTAGTAGGAAGGATACCGCGAGGGAACTTCATCGAAAATTGTGGAAAGTCAGCGGTTAAGGCGCTAATCTTCATCGAAAATTGTTGAAAACCAGCGGTTAAAACGCTAATCCTTAGGTGCCTGCAACCGACGCCGGATGCAGCATTCCACTCACCTTGATAGATGAAGAGAATAGTCTCTCTCAAACGCGTGATCTCGTGTTTTGTCTTTTTTGATCGCCTTGCCTCGCCATCGTACCACATTCGACATTATTGAGAGTTAAGGCCTTTATTTCAGCGTTTCCGATAATTTCCTCGTTCTCCTGTCCAGTTTCAATTCATTGCGCACTCAGCCATCACTACGAAGCGCCCTCATACATCTGTTTTATCCCGGAGTTGGCTTCAAGGGAAGTGCAACAAATTTTGCGGGATTACTTCTAGGGTAATTAATGGAAAATTCTGAAGCGCTCCCATCTGGCAGTATTCCATTCAGAGGGAGCATGTGGTCTATATCTTGATGAAGGGGGCCCAGGGTCTAAAAAACAACTCCTCTCACACTGAGATATCTAGTGAAGTGTCAGGAGACTCACGAATATGGTGAAAGTAAATGAAACTTTGCAAACACAAGCTCGTGTTGCTATTTTCTAGGAGCCTTTCCGATGGTATGCGCCTCCCACAAGTTGATGTGCACTCAATTCGACGGTTGTATGGACTTAAGGCGAACCATCAGAACTACAGCTGATAGAAGTCGTCTCAAGCCGAGTTCGAGCTTGCGCTTCCAATAAAGCAATTTCTGTGGTGGGTCATAGGTCTAAATACTACATATGTATAAGGCAATTTCATCTAGTGGTAAAGAGTATTCCTACTACGAGAGACTTTTAAGGAGTATTTCGAAGTAGCGTGAGGCACAGCTGTCAATTCGCTAATGCCGTCCCAATGACAACATAGAATGTACCGTCGATTTAATTGCATTTCTAGATTCCTAATTTTCTCGAACAGATCTCATAATCTAACTTTATT